TGATATGGCAATCATCGTGTCTCAGTCTTCACTAGTGATGGTGATTTTGTTTGTAGTTTTGGAGAGTACGGTACTAATGGAAATCAATTTAGTCATCCACATGGCGGGATTACATTTGATAAAGATGGTCTTCTTTATATTTGTGACACAGGCAATGATAGAATTGTAGTGTATTAACTACTAATTTTTATTTTAAAGTAATTATGATAAAATTGATTGTGAACATTGTCACAAATAGTTGCAGCTAATATTTTATAAAACGATGATGCAATTTAGCCAGTTAAAAGTAGCCATTACTATCTTGTTGGCCTTTTTGTGTAACACAAGATCTAGCACTATAACAAAATAGAATTATACATGTACATATTTCATTATTATAGATGAACCTTGCTTCACAGTCTGTACTAGAAGGACTCAATGCAGTCCTGGACCACAGAGGAGAAGTTAGTTAAATGTCCTTTCCTAATACTATTTAATAATAATAATAGTTGTATATTCCTGAGCTTTCAAAGACATTCCATGTTCCTTGTTGCACTCGTCTCTTTGCCTGTCAGAACCCAGTCACTCAGGGTGGAGGGAGGAAGGGACTTCCACTGTCCTTTGTTAATCGCTTCACTCAGGTATACACTATTGGGTATTGTCATGTGACCTTTTTACCATGGCAATAGGTTTATTTGGAGCCAATGTCCAATAGTGATCTAGTTTTCATCACTTGTTCAATTTATCCTGATATGGATAAAGAGACTGTACAAAGAATGGTCCAATTCAACAATAAGGTACAATGCAATAATAAATTCTATTATATACGTGTATTATGTACATGTGTATTCATAGAATGCATGCACAATAATTCAATCTTTAATTATTTCTAGCATTAAATTTAATTATTTTTTTATTTTTTCTAGGTGCACGAGTATTGTGGGTCCAGCTCATTGTGGGAGTTTAATTTACGCGACATACTAAGATGGAGTGAAGTCATTAATAAGAGACAACCAATTCATTCTTCACCTTCTGAGTCTATGAGACTATTGTATACTTACCGTCTGAGGAATAGGGAAATGAGAAATAAAGTATATGCTATTTTTAGCTTTTTGTACTATATTTAGTAACAATAGTAATTACATATTGGATTGTGTGAACTGTTAATAGATTGTTTTATTGATGATAGGTTAAAGGCTTGTATGTGGAGTGTTTTAATGAAGAGAGTGTAGCACCAGGTGGACTATTACATTTATCAGATGATGTTCTACAAGTAAGAAAGACAGAGAGAAATATTTGATTGTGATTTCTTTGTTTTAGATTGGAGGTACAATAGCTAAAAGAGGTTACTATCGTTACGATGATATTTCTGAGCATTTGAAGATACTCCCATCTCAAACCCACCTACTGGACCTCCTGCTTAGGAACACTACAATGAACTGGATGACAATACTGGTCAGTGACTGAGTAACTGATATTGTATTATGCTTTAAGACTGGGGGATTGAGGTAGATAAGGTAGATGAGGGAATGACGGAGACAAAAGGAGAGATACATGTACAATGTATGTGAGAAATGTGTCTATATATTTTAAATTTAAAGATATAGGGAATTAATATAAATTTGTGTAAAGCTG